AAAAAAAAAAAAAAAAAAAAAAAGGAGGGAAAAAATGGATTCTATAATAAATTAAAAATGAAATGAAAAATGTGAAGAAAAAAAAACAAAACTTTTGAAACCTATTGTTAATAAAAAAAAAAAAAAAAAAATTAAAAAGGGGTCACAAAATAAAATTAAAGGAAAATATGAGAGTAAAAGCATATGCATATATAAATGCACATAACAGTTTGTAAATATACACAAGCCACCACACAAACATGAATCTCAATACATGTAACGATTGATTATATAATGGACTGTCCCGACGGTTTCGATGCATGAGGATCTGACAGCTTAAATGATTCAGTTATGAAATTTTGTGCGATAATCTTAAGTGGCACTTAAGACAAGCTAGTGATTTGCAAAGGAGGCCACATATGGAGCAAGAGTGAGATTATATATATATATATATATACACACACACACAATTAATATGTATTTACATTAACCTTCCCCACTCTACACAAGCTTATATCTAAAGGAGCCATAGTGATAGAATCAATGAAGGTATAAGAGAGGGTGGTTGGAAAGTAGCCCTCAATGTACAGGGCAATACTGCCATTACTAAATAGTGCATGGTATGAGGGCGATCATAGGTGGTAGAACATAATACAGTGGGTAGGTGATGGCTGTTGAAATTTAGAGTTAAAATGTGACAGTTCCAATCTTGTATATTTACTTTTCTGTCACAAAGGCAAGTAGGAGAATCATGTGGGAGAAACTGGAATAGAATTCCATTTACGGTTCAACAATCACACGAAAAATATCAGGGACAACAACAATTTTCCATTCTCTGTACACTTCAACCAACCTGGTTATAGCATCGATGATGTCAGGTGCATGCTTTTAGCATCTTGGTTCGATAGCTGAAAGGATAGATGCAGATCAGAGTTGAAGTACATCCTAAAAGTAAATTCCCACAGAGGGACTAAACAGGTATTTGGGTTTACTCAGAGTACAATTTCCACAAGAAAACCCATAATCAGCAACACCACTCCTCAGACAAGTTAAGCCCTCCACCCACATTTTAACTCTAAATTTCAACAGTCATCACCTACCTATATTTTTATGTTCTACCACCTATGGTCTAACTCATGATGCACTATTCAGTGATGGAAGTATTGCCCTGTACACCAAGGGCTACTTTCCAGTCACCCTCTTTCATACCATCATTTATTCTATCACTATGGCTCCTTTACATATAAGCTTATGTAGGGAGTAGAGCAGGTTAGTGTAAATACATTAATATCTATCTCTTTACATGTATTGAGATTCATATTTGTGTGGTGGCTTGTGTGGTATATTTACACATTTATGTGCATCTATATAGGCATGTGCACCTGTATATGCTTTACATCTCAGTTTTTCCTTTAATTTTTATTTTCTGTACCCCCTTATTTTTTTTTTTTTTTGTTCTTTCACATTTTATTAATATTCCATTTTTTTTTTATTCACATATTCTAACCACAGCCCATCTTTCTACACTTGACAACTTGGTCTGACAATTTTTGCTACAACTTACACATGTAGCATGTCTTTCCCCCTCTCCAACTTATGACTTCATTTATGTTTACAATCTCACTCCCCACTAGTAATAATAGACCTGACCAACACTTTTACACCAATCAAAATTATAAATTTAAGTTTATTTTCTAAAACTTTTTTTTTTTTTTACACATCGAGGAATCAGACAGATCAGGTTTTTGCTAACAATAAGACCTTTCTCTCCATGCTCCATTCTCTTTCAGTCATATAGTTAACATTCAATAAATATTTATCATACTGATTATATTAGTACCCCTTCATTTGTTCTTGTTTTATTATCTATTTTACCCCAATGCACACACACACACACACACTTTAAAAATAAAATGTATGCATGTAATGATTGACCAATCCTGTTTTGTAGGTGTAATTGATTATACCAGTAGTTCACCATAATACATCTGACCACAATTCAACTTAAAAATACCAGTTTGCTCAGGAGAGAAGAGAATTCACTAAGAAAATGCATTGAAAGTGCACTAATTTCACAATTCTCAACAATAAACTTCAGTCCAGGATACCAACCATTGCAAAAGCAATAATAGCACAGTGCAGTATATGAGCTAAAAGGGAGAAGGAAAAATCCAAGTGGGTGGATTTAAAATCCAATAGACAGCAATGGTTATATATAACAAACAAGCTTTTGAGTCTCTGGTAATCAAATCTGATAAGGCAATTTAATTTATTGCCCTCTACCCCTTTCAATCCTTCACCTTCGAAATCTCAATGCATTGCACTTAGTTTTGTCTCACTCCAACCTGAAGAAATAGAACCTAATGTCATCTAAACTTTCCACACACTTTTTTTTTTTTTTTTATTTATTATTTTCAGATAGAGTATCAGTAAAGGAACAAAATGAAGAGGAAAAGTATTCTTAGGCATATGTCCATATCTTATTCAATTGGTTAAGAATAGTTTATATATTTTTTGTAATTTAAATTGTGTTTATTTAGGCAGCATTTTTTTTCATTGATGCAGGTTTCATTAAATAATATAGACAAGTTTTGTCTATTTATTTTAAGTAAATTCTTTTCATAGTGCCTGATAAGCTTAAAAGATGAAAGAAAATCACTGTATTGATAAATGTTTTTTTTTTAATCCTATCTAAGCTTTCGGCTTACATAACCCATTATCAAAGATGACAATTACATTACAATATAATAACCAATACACAGACAAAACAATAATGATGATTGTTTTTGTTTGCATGGAAGATATCCAAGCAATGACAAACTCGTGCATACAAGATGCTGGAAGCAAAAATTGCACCGCAGCTCATGACATCACATGACCATGCGAGAGTGCAAATGAGAAGTATGTATGGGAAACTGTTGGTATAAACCAATGGCTTCTGTTATCAATTATAGGCATTTAAGAATATTTGGAGATTTCATAGTTTATTTCGTTCAGGTTAGGTTTCAACCGTTTTATGTATATAGCTTCAAAAATTTTTAGTTTTTGTTTATTGTTTTCATGTTTAAGCATAGTTGTGTTGTCAACAAGGATTTTCTAGAATTGTGTATGAAGCCAGGCATGTTGTAAATGCCTAAAAATGTTAGTTATCACTCAAATGTAGGGTCAAACATCGTGAAAGCGAGTGTGGTGTGTCCAACAAATATTATTTAATCCGTTGGAGATAAAATCTCCCAAAGGGCACTTAAATTTGTAAACTATGTTTTTTTTTTTTTTTTTGCAAATCGCTAACAGCAGGAGAAGAATCATTGCGAATAATTGAGTTGGATATACTAGATTTAGTGTAGTATATGATTAACTTAATTTTTTTGCTAGGATCTGTTATAGATATATTAGTATTTATTATTTTTTTTTTTTTTAGTATATTTTCATTTTGTTTATAATTAGTATGCATTTGATTACAATATAGGAGATTAATATGTTTGGGATTAGTTGAAGCAGTATTATGTTCTATTTGCTTAGTATTGAGACTAAGAAAGCATCTTATTTGTTCAACTATATAGTTTGGAATTGTTTTATATTCTTTAGTTCATTGTAAAAAATCTGTTTTATGGATAAATTAGTTTCTGCACGATGTATTAGATTCTTTATAATTGCTATTTTGTAGTAATATGGACATTTGTTCTTGTAGTTAAGTGGAAATGAATTTATGCTGGTAGGTTTTTGTATGGCGAAATAGTAAATTTGTTATTTGTGTTTATCAATATTATTAGTATAGAGTTCATATGTGAATTTAAGGACAGAATTATTTTGGAAACGTTTTTGAAGTTGAAGTATTTCATCTGTATTTTTAACTAACATAAGAATATCATCAACGTATCTTAGATGGATGTTTTTTTAAAATCTGTAAATATCTTATTTTCGAGGCTCGAAATGTAGAAATTGCTAAATGTCAGACCCAGTACTGAACCCATGGAGACACCATCACATTGTGTGTGTGTGTGTGTGTGTGTGTGTATATATATATATATATATATATATATGATCTAAGAAAGGGACTTCAGCAGTAAAAGCTAATAATAGTTTCCGTAATAAATTAGGATATATAGAAGTGGGGGTAAAGATGAGTTACTGTATATATTTCTTATAATTATGCCAATAGTTTTGCTAACAGAGACATTGGTAAATAAGTTTTCAACATCAAGTGAAGCTATGATTTTATTGTTGGATTTGGATTACTTTTTAGGATTTGGATTACTTCTAATGTTGACATAACACTATATTTACTAGGAAGGTAGGGAGTAATGAGTTGGTTAATGTATTTTGTTAGCTGGTATGCAGGAGTTGGAATTTGCGATATGATAGGATGGAGAGGATAGTTAGGTTTGTGTTTTTATAGTGCCGTATATGTAACCAGGTATATAATCACCAACAATTTCAGGGAGTTTTAAAGAGTTCTGTTCAGCATTAAGCTTTGATTTTAGTTGGTTGGTCAGGTTCTTGTCGAGTTTTTTAAACCGTGTGATCATGGAGTATATGGTCAAGTTTTTTGTTGTAATCCAATTTGTTTAGGATGACGAAAATGTTGGTCTTATCACCATTTTTTACAATTTATGTCAGGGTGGTTGCGTAGTTCTTATGCTGCAATTTTTAGCTGTTTAGAAAGTATTTTTGAGGAGTTTCTGCTTTTATCATGCCGATCCTTGAATGCTTTGGCCTTACATAAGCCTTTAAATTATGGTGTAGTTTCTATTAGTTATTCATCCTGGAGTTTAACAATGTTTTGGTATAGCATCTCAATTTCAATTTTTTAAAAAGTCAATTATATTTACGCTATATATGACAGTTAGGTCCATGGTTAAGCAATTCTTTTTGGTGCTTAGTTAGTTCATAGTTGGAAAGGTTAATGAATTTATCAATTTTGTTAGGAATAGTGATAGTACCTTTGTATAATGCATTCAGTTTTTTTTTTTATAATTTTAAACCGGTGTTGATTTATTGGTAATTTCCGTGAGTCTATGAGTAATTCCCTCCAGTTGGTTCGGGGGTAGTTATCTCTCTTAGTTTATCATAGATGTCCTGTTTGTTGCCGTTAAGGGTGTTCAATTTTTCCTTGGCTATTTCAATTTGCCTTTTCACAAGGCAAATTTATAATTCCAAGTGCTGGATCATGTAATTTAAATTGTGTGTATTTAGGCAGCATTTTTCATTGATGCAGGTTTCATTAAATAATATAGACAAATTTTGTCTATTTTATGTAAATTCTTTTCATATTGTATGATAAGCTTAATAACATTATCATTAAAAGAAAATCACCATATTGATAAATATTGTGTGCGTATATTACATACATACATGTGTGTTTGGGGATGTACATGCTTCTATATGCTTGTATATATGTGTAGGTATGTTTGTATATATAAAACTGCATGTGCGTAGTTGTGTTTGTATATGTTTTTGAGAGTATATATGGAATTTGTGTATATATTTATATATGTGTATGCATGTGGATATGTGTGTGTGCGTGCATGCGCGCACAAGTGTGGATATGTATATATGCATTTCTATTTGTACACATGTGAGTGTATCTATGTGTGGATCCGAAATTATTATGCTATTTGCATAATTAGACATATCCTATTTTGTTATGGGTGGTGTTATTGTCATATGCATGATTAGAAATAGAAAAGGAGAAACATAATTTTTCCGAATTTGGTGCCATATATACGCATGGTATTTATGTGCATGTTTTTGTTTTTAGACATATGTAGATTGTTTTTCTTAGGCATATAATTGCATAGTTTTCTTTGGAACTTATGCAATCTTTATATTTATTATGAATATTATGTATAGCTTTATTATTTTTATTCATTTTAAATAATATCCATTTTTATTTAAAAATGAAATTTTCTGATTAAAAATAGCATATTTTTTCAAAAAGTTCTTTGCACTGTTATTTATATTATTTTTATTTATTTATTTTTTTTTTTTAAATAATAAAGTGTCATAATTGTCAATGACTACATACATCAGACAGAAAACCTATTTGATTGTATACAGAAAATTGCCGGTTCAAGCCATCTCTCGAGTTCCCTTTCTTTCCTTTATTATTATCTGAGGATTTCTTTCTACTTCACTGTATCCCAAAAATTAGGTCAACATATCTTTTTAAACAGACTTAGATATATCACTCTTTCTTCCCCACTTCTCTCTTCATCTGAATACAGAATCTGCATGTTTAAACATAATTTATGTTCAGATTATTTTTAAGCTTGGTAAAATCTTTGTCCGTTTATTTGTGTAATGTTTGGTCTGATGAGTTGGAATCGAAATTTTGATTCTAATGAAATAAATACCATGATCTTTTAAAGTTTTCACTTTCATTCGTGTGTGTGTGTGTGTGCCTTTAGCATCTAATCAAATTTACTAGCCACAACTATCTCTAAAATTTTCAATGATGATTGGTGAATTATTTCTACATATTCTTTTTCAAAATTATAAATTTAGGTATATGAAAATGCATCAGTTGAGACTGATGATAAAAAAAAAAAAAAAAAAAAAAGTCAAAACCTTATTCTATGTTAAATCCCATAGAGATTGACAAGTTGTTGGAAAGTTAAATTCTATTCCTGAAACCAAGTCAGTTAAGGATGTAACAATATTTACATCTAAAGAACACTTAATAAATTTATTAACAGCTTAAAAAAAAGTTAATTTGTGTAGAAGTCCCCCTCCTCTCTTAACCTTGTTATACAAAACAGGAAATTTATTACTATGACCTCTGTACTGGACTTAAGTTAATGATACGTGACCTGTGATTGATGGTGGTGGTTTATGCTAAGAGCTCATAAATTGGCAGATTGTCTAAGTCATTGTGTGTCCATAGATTTGTAGAGCAATGTATGTAAAGGATTCTTTGAAATGGTATATTTGATTTCTGTGCAACATCAATTACAAACCAAAACCCGTTTTGCATTCTACAACTTATGAATAGCTCATAAGATAAATGCCACGTCTTGTCGCATTCTCTTATGCTGACAATACTGCAGCAATCATGTTTGTTCATTCATAACTTACTTGCTTTTCATAGTGTTTGAAAGTTCTAATTCTATCATACCATGTCTGCCTTTATCCTGATAGGAATGTATAACTAATTTCTTGCAATAATTACCTGAAAACCAGAGGCTACTGACAAGTAGCTCAAGATCCAGAATTTTTGCATTCTTCTAATAGAGAATTAGCTGAATAGTATGAAACTGAAAACATACTTACTTGAACTATCATGTCAGTTCAAGGCTAGAAAGTCTGAATTTTAGTTAGCAGGATTTAGCAAAGCAGGTTGTTTCCACCACTCAAGGGTATTAAGACTTTAATTCATTCTTTCATTAATCTGCTGATGCAACCATAAGTTTTTTTTTTCATTCGTATACACAGAGCACTTAGCTGGTTACATATGTACACTTAAAAGGTGTAATTTTCATGAGTTATAAATGAAGAATATTAAAACTTAAGTTTAATTGAATAAGACATGGATAAAACAGTTTATATTGTAAACACATGATAAATGGTTAGAAACTTGTTTTTCTTCAAAACACCAACCAGAATACATTTCATTACTTTGAAGCCTTGATCAAAGGAGACTTGTTTGCAAATTTGTTAACTTACCCGTTCCTCCCCATTGTAGGCTCATTTTCTACCATTTTTCAACTTTTCAGATATATAGATATAGACAATCTATTGGATTGAAAAATCAAGAACTTTGAAGGTGAGATTTCTCATTATTTCCTTTGATAGCAAATAACCTTGTTACATCATTGCCTTCACTTACATACTTATTAGATTTGTTTCTTCCTTTTCAAATGTTTCATAAGTGACATCCTCATTTTAGCCAAACATTTTTGAAAATTCAATTTAAAGATTTTGTTCAATTTTAAGATGTTATACTAAAAATTCTTTAATGTTATTGAGCCTTTGAGTATTGATGTATTAATGATTGCATTAAGTGAGACATTTGCATGATAGACATTGGCACTATTTACTAATATATTTCAAGCCACTAGTCCGATTCTAAAGTAAGATCAAAGAAATTTAAATTCTCAATTTTAATTACATTAGATGTAAGTGCATTTTTAAGTAAAAACGTATCATGGTCAAGATGAGAGTATTAAATGCACATGATTAACAAACAACTGGGATTGAGGAGTTTAATACAGAGAAATTATATTGATTTCATGAAAAATTCAAGTTTTCATCCATAATTAACGTTATATTAAACATAACTTTTGAAGACAAATAAAGTGTACACAAATTAAAAAAGGAAAGTACCTGGTTGTAAAGAAGGTGATGGCGTAGAAGCACTTAATGACAATTTTCTTTTTGGAGTGTACCTGGAAGAAAATTAAAATATTCTAGTGACATATGGATTTTTTTTTTTAAAATAAAAAGTAAAATCTAACAATAGCCACAGTTAGGTTTGAAAAATCAAAACAATGAAAATCTAATCATTAGCTGAAGAACATGGTAACCCATTAAACATGGCAGAAATTGAATTTAAAAGTGAATTGTTGAACCATACAATTGCAATGACAGAAGAACCAATTGTTCAATTAAATATATCAATAATATATGGGTATGAAACATTAATCCAAGATCTTCCTGAAATTCATGTTATATATATTTCCTCAGTTCATTTAAATTTCTGCAAGTGTAGTTAAGACATTGAATACAAAATTTAAGTTATTTTTAAATTTACATGATTACATAGATATGTAGCACTTTCATGATAGAAGTGACACAAGGTTATCATCCTAATATTAATCACAAATTAAAACAATGTAATAAAATATGTTCAAATCTAAGAAAATAAGCAATATTTTGTAAAAAATCTGTCTTATCCTATGTGCAACTATGTATATTCAACAGAAAATTCAATTGACTTTTGACGAGAGATTCCAAGTTAATCATAAAAAACCCAAGTTAACCCAAAAATAGAAATCCAATTGCTTTAAATGTCCAGAGTCGAAATTTAAAGAATGAAAATGGACAATTGTAATTAGTTTTAATTAGAAAATGATAAAGCAAATGTTAATTATTTCTGCTTTCCACTTCATAATATTGATTTTAAAAAAGTACCCATCCCATTTTAAACTTTTTTTCATAAACATGTGTTACATTTTCTGGGAAATAAGGAGTGTTTTGTGACCTAGATAAGATATGTAGTACACAGAACAAACAGATGAATGGAAGCCATCAGTCAAGAGTTACTAATTCACAACTCCTTTCAGTTTTCTGTAGGATTTAAAAAAAAAAAAAAAGAGGGGGGGCTTTGAGTACATGCACTATTGACTGATGGGAGACTCTTAACTTAATTAATCGCACAAGTTCTTCAGGTTTTGCAATAAGAGAGAGAAACTGATATGTTAAAAATAAAATGTTTAATGAAAGCGATGATCTCTAGCCAATCATTTTAACAAGGATGATTATGAATATGATTTTTATTTAATCTTGCAGTTAATAAAATTAAAAGTATTCTGGAAGAATAAGATACACAAAAAACATTTACAAGTTTTTATGAAATGTCAAAAGGAAATTTTAGTTAAGTTTTTGACAGATAATTTCCAAAAAATTTATAGATTTAAATTACAAAATCATTTTAGATATTTATTTTTGTTATCACTTTTTGCAGGAAGATGGAATTATATGTTGAATTTCGCAACTGTTCCATTTTTAATGTGCAGATATATCAAATAAAGTTAAGCATCATGTTATGGCATTAATACATTTTTATTTTGATGTTGGACTAGGAAAGGAGAATCAATTAAGCCAATAAACAAATAAAAATTTCGACTTGTAAATTATTTTCATTGATAATGTAAAACAGGCTCAAAATAAGTTATTCCATATTTAGGACTATTTCCTTCAGAAGAATTTAAAATATCAGATATATCAAATTATCAGTGAATATGTAACTATTTCCCCATGGTATTTCTCTGGCTTAGAATAGGTATCCACTTGTTATAACATACTGTAAGAATAATTGACCATTAATATTTTTCACACACACATCACCCGAATGTAGGATTGTCTTCAGAAGAAAAGCTTGCCATATCTCCTATGTATTTCTAAACTAAGCCAAACTAGTCTACACATACTATATTGTTTTTAATTTTAAAATTAAGTTATTAATACAAAATAGTAAAATTTAGATTTCCTATTTAAAGAAGTGCATAAATTTTGAATAGATTATGAAGACATCCAGAACAGACTTAAATTCCAAAGGTGATAACCAGTTAGGGGAACCTAAACTATTTACAATTAAGACTTCATATTTTGTAAATTGCACAAAATAATTTGGGTGAAGATTTGCTTCACCAAAATCAAAAGCAATAAATGATCATAAATGCTTTTTGAACAACTACTATCAAACTTCATTTGCAAATTATGTAAAAGCTTAATTATAGCAGTTTGCAATGACTTATCAGACAAGCAATCTCAGGACTATAGTAATTGACTAACTTGTGAAAAAGAGTATTTGAAAAGATCCTATTCATATTGTAAGAAATTTTCCTTTTGAAAATGAAAAAATATACTGAGAAAATTTGATAATGCTTCCTTAGTGTAACTGGTTAAATGAAATCTGCACAACCAGATTCAAGAGATTAGACTTTAGGAATATACACTTTTTTCTTTAGTTAAATGATACAAAAGTTCTATGTGCACAATTTTATAAGTCAGCTTTAACAAAATTAGAGAAATCAATGGAGAAATTCAGAAATTTCCATGTGATTGACAATTTTTGCTTTTTTAATGCTGTTCCCTTCTCAATGTAGTAGTGATCATAGAAAATTGACATGACTTCTTGAGAAAGATAGTGGGGTAGCTTCATGTTCATGATCTAGATTACTTTCTTTACATTTTTTCTTAAATACAGGAATTTATGCAGTTTTTATGAAGTTATGAGAGTTTTTTTTTTTAGTTATCAAATTTGATAAAGAATGTCAAACAATTTTGAATTCTTTTGTTTGTGTCATGCCTGAATTCAACCGACGTTAAAAAAAATTTCTTAGCTATCAAATTCTGGTTCGCTTATTGTTCCCGCAACATTAGATTTTTTTAAAGTAAATATTCTCAAAAAGTAAAACAAGATTAAAAAGCAGGTCACGCTTCTTGGGGGAGAAGAAGCAAAAGTAAAAGGCGCATTTCTGGTTATTGTAGCTTCAGATAAATAAATAAAAATCTGATATGAGAAGTCTCTTAGCCTAGTCTTAGGCCTTGATACACGAAATAGAAAGAAATGACAGTAGCTGTAGTGTTAAGTTTGGTTTAATTATTGACGACAAAAAAAAAAAAAAAAAAAAAAAAAAGACTCAGAAATTAGTTGACAGACACTGTGGTTCGGACAAAGAGTTACAGATGTTTCTTTGTGCACACAAATCACAAGGGTTTTTTTTTTTATGAGAAAGTGACTAGTTATTTTTATTTAAAAAAAAAAAAAAAAAATCTGAATTTAAAGATTTTTATTTTTTTTAGAGGGGGGGGTAATAATAACTTCTGACACCAGAAAAATACCGTTTTAGACTTAGAAATTAATTCATAAAGGTTGATCAGTATTTCTAAAGAGTGGATAAAACAAAATGAGATGACGAAACAATAGAAGAGAAAGAGACCTGACGTAATATTGGAGGGAATTGAATATTGGCATTCCAAATTTTACAAATTAAAATTTGATATACTGTTAAATGATTGCATTTGCAGCATTAAAATTTCAAACCAACAGCTTTGAAGAAAAAAAAAAAAAAAAAAAAAAATTTAAAACAGTCATTGGTGACATTTTGAAAGAAAAAAAAAATCCGTCACTCAACTGGGATGAAATTATAAAAAAGATATTTTACATTACAACTATGAAAAATTGAAAATTCAAAAACGAAATTTATCTTTTAGATTTTCAATTTAAGATCGCAAATCGATTTCTACACGAGTCACATTCAGAAAGTATAGTTTCATTTTTTTTTTAAACCAATCTAAAAAAAAAAAAAAAAAAAAAAAAAAATGAACAACTCAATTAAACTTAAAGTCATTCAATTTTGTTAAAGTTATTTTATTGTCCAGATGAAAATAAAAGTAAGACATGGTAAAAGGGATTTTAGAAACGTGTCTTGAAAGGCAAACATGTTTGGCTGATCACGTTTGAAAAGTTTGGTCGCAACTTTACTGATTGGTTGCAATTGCACAGCAACAAACCATTTTTAGGTCAATCGGGCGGCAGATTTAAAATGCATTATTTTTAGATTTTTTTCGGCAATCACTGGAACGGAAATTGAAACAGGTGATTAAGAGCAACCCAATCACTGAGGAGAATCTTAAAAAATATATAACCTACGCAAGAATTTTAAAACACTTATTAATTACGGGGAGAAAAATCCATGAGCAATGTCCATTGCATTTTTTTCGGCATGGTAAAAAAAAAACAAAAAAAACGCATGCGTAATTCATGCGCAAAAATGGAGATTTACAGAAGATAACGAAATCATAACGTACTGCATTTAATGAATCCATGTGTCAAATATAGACTAGAGATATGTCCTGGAATACTTGAATCATATCATTATAATCATAATCCAAGTTTTTTTTTTTTTTTAAACGTAATATAACAAATTTGTGAACGAAACAGTTCTTCAGTCGGTTTATTTTGGTCAGCACTAGTAAGAGTAAAATAAAAACTATAATTTGGTTCTTGAAACAAAAATATTCAAGAAAAAAAAAGGATTAATAATGTAATGAATGACGAACCAAGCTTGATAAAGGAAAAACTTATAAGACATACAAATAAATGCATTTAAATCTGACAAGTTACATACAAAAAAAAAAAAAAAAAAAAAAATATATATATATATATATATATATTTTACCTGCCAGTGCTGAGTTCGCTGAGATTTCGAACCAAATTCATAACGGGAGAATTGAGGTTTCCAGGGAAATCGTTTGCCGATCGAGGTGACATATCTTTGTTTAAACTCAGGTTGGTCAATTTCCCAATAAATGGTTTCTGAATTTTGTTTGACATTATTATTAAATATTTTTGGGGAAAACTCGATTTGATTTTAAAAACTTCCCCCGTAATCAACACTTAACCAGACATATAATTTAGTAGCTTATTTAATAGAAGGAAGTTGATCCCATAAGGCGATTAATTACAAGTTCAAAATTTAAAAACGAAGAGTTTGCTCTTGATATTCATTCAAAATAAAAAAAAATAAAGACTTTGCGTTTTAACTAAGACATAAACGTTGATATTGGTCCTTAATGACAAGCAAACAAATGTGTATCGGTTATAAAAGAAGTGTGTCTAATAATTTAAAAATATGTTAAGGGGTGGATGGGATATGGAATCATTAAGAACGAAAAACACTTAGGGGCAAGTTGAGGGGGGAAGAAAAAAAAATAAAGCTAACCAGAATTAGTTTGGCAACACTAAACAACAACGCTAAGAGTTAATGTAAGCGCCACCAGGTTTAAACACAACAACGCATTAACCAATCAGAAGTCGCCGTTGAAATCAACAGTCCTTGCAAATATTAAATTTATTTTAAATTCATTTAATTTTTTCCTTCAATACCAATATTTAATCTTTTTACTTGAAAAACTACCTAAAATTATCATTACAAACAAAAAAAAATAGATATTTATTTTAAGAAAAATTCAGTTGATTCCGCGCTTGGATACTGGTTCGGTTAGGCGCGAAATAGTTCATTTACGGCTGAGGCATAGCATAGAAAACATGGCAAACTTTTTTACTGATAGCTTTGAAAATCGAATGACGACGCCCCGGAGAAATCGGTTCGTTTCTTTTTTTTATTATTTATATACAGATTTCCATTTTATTTATTTTTCCTGAAAACATTTTTCTTATCGTGTTTTTTCTCAATTCGTGAAATTGAAGAAGAGATGAGCCTGAATTGCCTGAAAAGTGAAAACTCTTCCTTCATCGACTTATTTTATCTCGATTCTAGCATCGATCAGAAATAAGAATCTTCATTAACCTAAAATATTTCGCCCCTTGTCTAACAAAAAAAATTACCTAAATAATAATGATACTTAGTCAAATTTTAGACTCTAAAATTTAGGTCAGATGAACCAGGATGAGCAAAACAATAACAACTGAGGAAAACCGCGCTAAATTAAAAAAAAAAAATCAAATCTCCGATACTCTAACGCTAACAATTGGGTATGAAATGTAAATCCTTTTAGGCCTCGTAATCGGTACGTGCAATGAATTTTTTTTTTTTTTCTATAAAATGCGTCAATACATTCTTTTCCTTTTCTGCCGTCCCCAGGGTGAAACTGAAAACTAATTTTTATCCTATGCATTGTTTTGGTTCTTTTCAGAATAATCTGCATTAATTATTTTTTTTTTTTTTAATTTGTTAATAAGACTTGACTTTCTAGTTAAAACATATGAAAATTTTAGAAATATTTTTCTCTTATTTTTTTTTTCTCTGCAGACAATTTTTTTTTTTTTTTTTTTTTATTCCTAAATATTTATTGCCCAGGAATGATCTTCAAGAATAAATATGCATGAAATTACAGTAGTACTCTACCTAATTAGATTTTTCTACCTTTTGAACATTTTCTTACAAAAAGAGAAAAAGCTGCGTAGTTTACCCACATGTTGGCATAAATCATTATTTTTTTTCTTTCAAATTAACTTTGAGATTAAAAAGCTATCTGGCCAGTGAAAAAAGTTCAATCGTGTTAATTTTTCTTTGTAATTTTTAATTTGTCATTAAATAATCCTCCGCTGTCCCTCTTCTTGGCTCACTTATCTTGCTCTCGATTCCAAAGTTGTACTGTTAGAGGGAATGAACCTTCTTGCATGGATTTGGGAGAGTAAGGAAATTAGTTGGCTCCCTCAAAAATTGAACCCTTTCCAAACTTGGCAATCAACTTTCGCATTTTGCATGTGTCCGGAAATCTTAAGGTGCCGTCATTGCTTCTTTAACAAATTTGCAAACTGATTTCGACGTATCGATTTCTGCTTAAGTAAAAAGCGGAAAACTCATTAAACTACTCTTCTTCAATATTCAATGAATACGTTCAAAAATGTTATTGAAGTCAACTGATTTTTAAAATTTGGTTTATATTGCATAATTTTATGAAAGCAAATTATTTCAATTCTGTTAATTTGAAGACTTTTATCTCCAGTTTTAAACAAATAGCATAAAAATTATTTAAATTTAAATTAGCATTTATTAAGTCGTTGACTTTTCCGTCAAACATGTACCTACAATCGTTGAAATTCGTTTTTGTGGTTAAATATTAAATTATTTTTAGCATCCGGTATTTATAATTTACTCAGGGTTTAAAAAAAAAAAAAAATCAAATATAGGAACTAACAATTGTTTACCATCTCAACAACTTTAAGCAGCATTCAATAGGTCCAAAAATGTACTGTACCTACTGGAGTAACTTTTTGTCAAATTACGATGTTTGTAATGTACCAGGTCTATTAGCCTGCTTTTAATTTTATAAAAAAATTTACTGTTAGTTAAACAATGTTGTGATTTTAAATCGCATTCCTTTTTAAAGAACATGACCAGTAGGCAAATATTTCCTGTCTTACCCGGTGTTCGTTCAGAAAATTACTATTGAAATCTGAATTTCAGTATTACATTTTTGTTTTGTCCCTTTACTCTTGTTTCTCGTTTGTTCTTTAACATAAACGTAGTTTGACTTCAAGTATTTTTTACTGATACTTGAAAACACATTGCTTCACTTTGTCTCTTCTGAGATCCAAACAAATAGTAAAACTTTTTTTTTTTTTTTTTTTTTTTAATGCACAAAAATTTAGAGGGAATTTTTACTACGTTTGTATTTAGACTACCAATGAGTTCAAAATGGTTCCATTCAAATAATTTTCGTGACGATATTTGATATCGCCATGAAGATAGATGATTGTGTAGAACTACTTTAACGTTAAAAGACGTTCTGTTGCATGGAATTATTTCCTTTTCTTTTACGATTAAAAAAAAACTTTAAAAAATCCTGTAGCGTTTATATTGCTTTGAATCTCTAACGCGCATGCGTGTTTCGGACTTTTTATGACGACTTGTGCTTTTTCTGTGTTGAATCAATTTTCACGGTTCTTAAGATTTTCCAGTTTCACAATACGGTATGTTAAATATTTTATTTGGAATTTTCTTTTTGAGTAGCTGCGGCACAGTAAATGAAGCCTGCAATTTTCAAGATGTATATGAATTTGACCAATTGTTAACGAAACTCGAACATTATGTCGTAATGGTGTAATCGCCGTCGGCTGCGCGCTGGCTGGGTTTCATAACTTGGGGAAAGCTTTAAATCCCTACTCACTGGTTAACAAGACAGTTTGAGTTACAAGTATTCTCTTCTAAATTGAGCGGGATAACTTTTTTCTATACCAAAACATGGGCGTGATTAATTGACGTAATTTTTGTTGAAAGTAATTTCAATCTTCAATTTCTACTTTTCAAATACTTTATATTCCAATTTACTGATGGTATATATATAATTTTTTTTTTTTTTTTTTTTTTTTTTTTTTAATTCAATTTTCGCCCAGTGGGTTGGTAGAGCAGTCTAGCGGGCCCACTTTTTTGAGATAAACAACCAAAATGGCGTCGACTCTTGTCATAATGCTGCCGATTGCAATTTACATAGATTTTATGAAGTTCTAATTTGGTCTTTCTGTAATTATTCAAATTTACTTAATGCTTATTACTAGTATTGATTATATTTACTGAAGAAATACCCAACGTGCCTTAAATTCTGTAGTGTTGCACCAGGTATGTCTAGCACGTGTTGATTTCACTGACCGGTCGGTTTGGGTTTAAATCTAAATGTCTCTTTAAAAGTAAAGGGTAAAAAAATAAACTTCTAGTGAATTAAATTTATCTTCAAGTATAACATCAGTCTATTTCTTGTCCTCGTTTTTCACGATGTTTCGGCTTTCTTAAACTGATATACGTTGTAATTTCGAACCGAATCTTTTTTTTTTTTTAGTCTTGGAGTATATTGTTCTAGTTTCACACCTTTTCTGTTTTCAGTTAATTCATTTCAGTAACTCCTTATTTTTATTTATTTTTTTCCTCCTCCTGCTGTGGCCAGGTATTGAACTCGCAACTCTTTGGGTGAAGTCACAGGTACTTCAATTAACGCTTTTATCCACTGCGTAAAATTGCAGATTAGTACCCAAAAAGTAGCATTTCTGGTGTTATTCCGAAAACAGTATCAAAAATTTGAAAGCCTACCGTTTAGGAGATATCGACAATGTTAGCTGGGTCGCGTTAAAAAAAATGAAAATAGGGCCCCAAGCGCAATAAGAGGTTTTGTCCTAGAAATCTTTGCTATTAAGAGGAAAGGCCGAATTATTTTTAGTTTTTTGAATTTATTACTCCTTTCTAGCACGTGCGAATTTTTTTTCTCGACAGCAGCGAACAGTTTTCATTTTGCGCTTTTTCCGAGATAAGACATTGATTTGTGAAATATTGAAAAATTCATATTTTCGGATTTTAAAACTTTCAAGACATATTCAGAAATGAATTTTTTTTTTTTTTTTTTTTTTTTATACATGTACCACCCACTTACATAATTTCATGGAACTTCGGTAAATGAAAGTTTTTTTTTTTTTTTTTTTTTTTGTGTGTGTGTAAAGTTACCAGTTTCATAAATCTGCTCTGAATTGTTATTGTAGTAAAATAAATGCTATAAAACTAATTATTAGAAAAGCTTGTAATTGGTTTTGTAAATAAATGAAGTATACTCGGGTACCTTCATGAGATTTTTTTTTTAGAGAGCATAGCCTGATGAAAAAGACGCCAAACTTGGCGGAAACCAAATTTGATCGTAAATAAATGTGTTAGTTAATTAATAACAAACGTTTAGGAGATAATTAAGAGGAAAAATTTTTTTTTTTTTTTTTTTTATAACCTTGTTTCTCTTTGTATCACCGGAACTAGTAAAATAAATCTTTAGCGCTTTGTAAATTGTATCGCTTCGTCCAATCAAAAGATCCGCAGTAATTAAATGTAATTTTGTTCATTAAAAAAAAAAAAAAAAATCGCTAAAATGGCTGTAATTAAGTACGGAAGGTCGCAAGCAACAAAACGTCACGTGGCTTGAATGTAAGTGTTCTTCGTGTGAAACATGTTCAGCATTTTGAATTCAAGTTTTTACTAATTAAAAAAAATTTGAACACCATCCTAAGCCATTTTCAGCAGCAACATTACATTTTTTAAAAGTACCACTTTTCATTTACATATTTCATTGCAATTTCAATTTTGTGAAGTTGTTTTACAATTTTCAGTGCGCGCGCACACACACACACACACACACACACACACACACAAACTCTCTTTTTGGAAGAGTTTAGAGATAACGTTTCACAAATCTATAATTTAAATTTTAAAAAACTATATACCCAACAAATTTAAAAATTAATAAAATGGCTGTCTAAGGATTTTTTTTTCTCAAATATTATTCCAAAATAGCACTAAAATTTTGCACAAATCTATCAACTTTACTTGGGTCCTGGGTACAGTACAACCCTCCTCTACCTACTGGATAATTAGAAATTTTAAAACATCTAGGTGTTTTCAAGTTCCTGACTGAGGTAGCCAAGTAAGATTGTCAATACCCTCCTAAAAGGTGGACAATGCAATTTTTATGGTTATTTTTGTAGTAATCATGCTTTTTTTATGTACCAACACTGAGGCTGAAAAGGATGCAAACTTAAGAGTTTTAAGTCAAAATCTTTATTAGGAAAGACCAAATGTCAGCCAGGCTGTAATGTGAGACACAAATAAGACCCAACTAAGATAGCCTATATCTCCTAAACAGTAGGTTTCTGCAAATTTTTAATCCTGTTTTGGGAATGTTCAGGCTATTTTACACCAGGAATGATACTTTTTTTCTTTTTTCTTTTAAATTGGTTTCTGGGCCTTAATCTGCAATTTTACCATCTACTGGGTTGTTTGGGCCAAGGATTGGTTTTGGTTTGAATTAGATTTTCATCTGTCATTTACACAATTCTTTGAATGCTTTTCAGTAATTTATTTACAGACAAGCTGGTTTTGTTATGCGTTTTTTTTTGTTTTACTTATTTTAATAATTGCAGGACTCTCCATTTAGCAGGTGCAAACGTCCAATTTCATAAATGAATTAAGGTCTTTACATTTATTCCCATGTGATGATGGCTAGTATGGCAAACAATAACTTAATGTGAAGAAATTTTTTTTTTTTTTTTTTTTTTTTTTTTAACTGACTTGGTTGGTGTCAATTTTTCTATAAAATTGGTTGACATTTTAGGCACTATGGAGATTTTCATACCCCACACAAACTTTAAATGTATTTTTGTTTTTTAAGGGGAGGGTACAGAGAGATGAATGAAAATTGCAGCCCTCTTCGGAGCCCATTGAGAAGAGATAGGATTGCAGAATGTGGATATAACTCTCAGTAAGTTAACTTTATTTCTGAACAGTTTCCTATTCTTTGTAATGGCATATAAAAAATCCTTTTTTGTATGGAGATGTTTTTGTTAATAGAAATTGCATGGTTTTACTAATGTATTTGTATTCCTTGAAAAAGAAACTAATCTTACAATTAGTTATCATAGTCATGCTTAATTTTGACAAGTTTTAAAATTTTAATTTTAGGATTTTTATTGTGATAATAATTTCATCTTGCAGTGGGCAGAAAGTCACGAAACGTTTCCACTATAAACCTCAAGAATTTCCTCCACTCCCAACTACGCCTGAGTGGTAAGTATTTAAGCCTTAAATTGGGGTTCAAATTGTATGATTTTTTTTTTTTTTTTTTTTTTTTTTTTTTTAATTTAGCAAATTTTTCAAATTTGCCTGCTAAAATGCAGTTGGTCTTCACATATTGTTGAAAAGACAAAATACAATACTCGGAGTCACTTTTATACTAAAATGTTCTTTAAATTAGCTGATTCTTTTACAATTTGTATTAGCGATTCCTTTAAAGAAATTTCTTCTGATGTTTCACAGTACACAGAACATTTTATATTGCAGGTGGTTTTGATGAGAAAATCTTTTTACTATAGAACTATCCAACGTTAAATTTTTTTATTACTGTATTCATAGTCGTGTTTCTTTCTGCTAAGGTCATCTCCTTCCCAGGCAAGCTCCCCATCCAGTAACATTCCAGGAAAGGTCTCTCTAAATACAGAGAGAGACGAAAGTTTGAAAAATGATTGGGGATACAAAGTACAAGACTTTGAATATAGAGCACGAAGAGAGTACAGAAATGCTCAAAAGTAAGTTGTTTTACTATTTAATTTAGTCCTGTTAAAGTGATTTTACTAACCTTGCACAGGGCTGCTACTTAAGATTAGACACCAATCTTTAAAATTGCTTTTTAAGAATGAAAAAGCATTCTTGGAGCATTTTGTTTTAGTTTTAATTTCAAGCTAATAGATTGAATTTTATTTTCCAATAACAAAATATTTTGTATTTCAAAAATTAATTTAATTTGACTGGAAGGAGTTTCAGTGTAACTTCTAATAACAAAAAAAATCTTGCAAAAATACTTTTCCGAAACTTTGAGTACATTTAAAGCATAATTAATCTGATTTGAAATGACTGTTTAAAAAATATTTAACCTAACATAGGTATCTCTACGGCATTTAAAAAAAAAAAGTAGAACATAGTCTGATGAAAAAGACGCCAAAGTTTATGAAAACAATTTTATCGTCAAAATGCTTGTTTTTATGAAGAGGATAGACCATTTTTTTTTTTTTTTTTTTTTTTTTCTAAATTTTCCATCTTAGAATATTCTAAATTTTGATTTTAAAAAAACCTTGTTTCTCTTTGTTGCAACATGGAGTAGTAAATAACATAGATAATTTTTAGCGTGTGTGTGTTTTTTTTTTTTTTTTGTTTTTTTTTTTTTTTTTTTTGTATTACACACATTAATTTGGAAAATCTTGCAAAAATAAAAAATAATTGTCAGATGTTAATGAAACTCAGAAACTATTCACAGATGATCAAAATTATTTTTTTTTTTTTTTTTTTTTATTATTATTATTATTATTATTAAAGTCATGGCAGAAATATTTTTTTATATTTATTAACACCCCCATGTCTAATTTTATGAAAAACTCTAGAAATTCGTACCATCGGTTTTTAGTGATTACAATAGTTAAAGCACAAGGCTTTGAAGAATGTAAATCTTTTTTCTTTTTTTTATAATTTTGCCCCCTTCCCTTAAAATCAGCTCTGAATTGTAACATACAAAACTCAATAAAAACAAATATACTATTTAATTTCAAATGCTTTTTATTTGTTTTTATTTATGAATATGGACAATATTTTCTGAAAGCAAAAAAATTTTTCAATGAAAATTGAATTTTTAATACAATTATTTCTTATTTCTTTAATTTTAAAGATTTTTAAATTTTTTTTTTCATTGAATTTTTAAAAATATTCTAACTTTAGTTAAAAGCACCATCGACCTTTCAAAATCTCTGCGTGAGATTGTCATTGTCTAGCGTATTAAATTTTTTCATTTGGACCAATCAGATTTGCAGAAGTAATTAATTCATGTAATTTTTGTGTATACAGTTGGGCACTAATTATCAAGTACGGAAGACCAACCAGAATACAATTTAATCTGTTATGACATTTTTCCATAAATGAAATATCAAAATTAATAATAAAATGAATGGAAATACAAATAAAACAGTAAAGTGTAATAAATGTACATAAAATTATTAGTATTTTATGTACACTTCTGATAAAATTTCATAAAGGTACCTATAAATTAATTAAATACCTTTTTTTTTCTTATGAAATTTAATCTCACTATTAACAGTCTTATTTTTTTATTTTTTTATTTTATTTTTTTTTTCCATAAAGCATCGTAAACGCAATAATGAAAGCCAAGTACAAAAAAAAAAAAAATTAGAGCGCTGAAAGTTTTCCTTAAAAGTAACGAGGTAAATAATTTGTTCACTTAAATAATTTCACTTCCTTCCATCCGTAGAAAGAATTATCTTCCCGTAAGTTATCTAAACGTCATGAATGTGCCTTTCGTCACCTGTCAAAAGACGCAAAAGGTTATGACCTGCTTTGTTTTATTTTCAAATTACACTTTTTCGGCGCAGAAGCTAAGTTAAGCTTGGTTCAAAATATTTTAAATAAACAGTATAATTTCTGTTTTTATTAAACAGTTTGAAAAAATAATTGATTTTTAAAAGAATATCAAAGTCAGATTTTAATCTTTTTTATCAAATCGAAAAAAAAATGATTGTCCTTTTTGACCAAAAAAAAAAAAATACCCCAAAAATGTTTTGATCTTTCCTCTTTAATAATATGAACTTAGACGATAAAATTTTGTTTGTCAAGTTCAGCGTTTTTTTTTTTCATCGTGCTATGCTCTTTTGTTTACATGTTCGTGGAGATACCTAACCTAACAGTAGCTGTTTATTTTAAGGTATATTCACAGGTTTGACAGTTCTAGGTGTTAAAGTAATTGAATTAACATGAATACTTTTTGTGTATATAATTCTTGAGTACTTAATCTTAAATTTAAAATGTTTTGAATTTTAAATTTACTATAGCTATCACTTATTTTCTGATGACATGTATGGTCAATACTAGAGATTTTTTTTACTAAAATTTCAAACATGTTACAAAGGATTAAAAAGATAAAATATTTGGTCTTTCCTCTTAAAATATTTTGACTTTGGGGCCATTTTCAGCATATTATTGAGGATGCATAAAATGTTTGTATAATTTTGTGACCAATTTCTGTGAATATCTGGGACATGCAGTTTAGTTGTGCTGACTGCTCCATTTTTATTATGGCAACATTTCTCCTATTGTACTCTGTAATAATTCAAATATTAAAGTGAATATCAAAATGAACCCATTGTTCCTTGTATATGATGGAGATGTTCTGATCATGTCTGAAAATCTTGTCTAAATTCAATGTGGTTTTTTTATTACACACACACACACACACACACTAATTGTAAGGTCTGTATTGACTTTTAAGAAAGATTACTTTTTTGAATTGGCTTCTCAACTAGAAAGATTTAACTGAAATTTGTAATATTGTAGAATTCAATGTAACATTTAGGTACTTCATTTTGGAATATTTAGTAAAATTCTTTAATATTTAAAGTTTGCCTAATGCAGTTAAAATAGATGACTTATGAAATATGATGTAAAAAAAATTTCTAACATAACCTTTGTTTTAAATATTTTTCTCCTTTAATTTCCTACTGAGTATTGAAATTTAGGCAATCAAAAATGAACGTTAGATCCTTGATAATTTGTTTTGGTTATTGACTTGGTAGGTAATCAGATGAAATAACAATTAAATTTATTTTCCCCACAGATATTGTCGGAAGCTGGAGATGGGTAGGAAAGGGAATAAAGAAGCAAGGTATGTATTATCTCTTATATATATATATATATATATATATCATATCAAAATTTTCCTTAAATAATATAAAATTTCAAAATAATTCCTATAATAAGGCTCTAAAAGAGTGGCTACAAACCCAAAACTAACTTATAGAAAACAGATGTAGAAAGATTATTTTATATACTCCCCCCCTCCCTCCATACAACCAAATGGTAAAGAACAAATTAGGACATAAATTCCTCACATTAATAATCAAGCATTTTCCTAGTGAAAGTAAACTAAGTACTATTTTCAATAAAAACACTAAAACTGAGTTACAGCTGTACAGAGAACTTTAAAAAAAATAAGAACCATAATGCTAATATCTCAGACACTTATACCAAAACTTTAGACAATGAAAAAATAAAAACTGATGGAAATAAACAAAAACTATGTAACTGCAGAAACCCTCATAATTGCCCTCTACAAAATAAATGTTGCACTGAATCATTAGTATACCAATGCAATATCTCTTCGGTTGAAAGTCCTGAAAACATAAAAATATATATAGGTTGCACTAGCCCTGAGTTCAAAAAAAGATTCAACCAACATCAAAGTTCATTTAGGATAAATATAAAAATCAAACATCTCTCAAAATACTTCTGGCATCTAAAAGAATCAAGCACCTACAGTAAAATGGAAGTTAATAAAAGCTAGAATATGTAGGTCATTAAACGACCCATGTCCTTTGTGCATGCATGAAACTATATATTACTAAGTTTATAAAAAATAAAGATTTACTGAATCAGAAATGAAATAGCTATTTTATGCAGTCATTGTCAAAAATTTTCCTTAAATATTATAAAATTTCAAAATAAAAATAAATTTAAAACAGTGCGATCAGGTAATATACATACCTATATTTAACATGAAAAATAATTTTATATACTGTAAGTAATTCTATTACATTTACTTGTTTTTTTTTTTTTTTTTTTTTTTTTCTTTATGGAAAAATAAGTCTATTAAAATAACAGTGAAAATATTTTAAAGTTGTGTTTAAAACGAATTCTAACCTAAACATCTTTTAAAATTGTAGTTAAAGAAAATGTATTCTAACCTAAACACCTCTCAAAGTACTACCGGCACTTAAATGAATCCAATAAAACACCTACTGAAAAATTAAATTATAACAAAAAGGTAGATGATGTAGGCCATTGAATGACCCATGTCCTTTGTACATACATATGAAACTTTATTACTAAGTAAATATATATATATATATATATATATATATATATATATATATATATATATAATAGTTTTACTAAATCAGAAATGAATTAGCTATTTTGCAGTAAGTGCCATAAATATTAAATATTTAAATATAAAAGTTTAAAAATTGTAATATAGTCTATTAAAACTAACAATGAAAATATTTTAAAGTTGTAATTAAAATTGTAGTTAAAATTAATATGAAATGCCAGAAGATGTAAGCTTTTGAATGACCCATGTCCTTTGTACTTACATGAGAAACAATATATTACTAGGTTTATATAAAAAAAAAAAAAATAAGTTTACTAAATCAGTGAAATTAACTATTTTTGCCGTCGTTGTCATAAATTTTACTTAAATAATATTTAGATAAAAAAAAAAAACTTGTAACCTAATATACATACTTGATGTAAAAATAATTCTACATACTATAAGGGATTCTAATAAATTTAATTGTTCTTAAATAATATAGTATAATAAAAATTAAAATATTTCAAATCGTTAAATAAAACATATTCTAACCTAAGCACCCCCAAAAATCTTTAAATATACAAATAGAAAAAAAAAAAAAAAATCGGCATGCATTCAACGGATGTCAGATTTCATTGAAAAATACCCCCATAACGGATACAATAATACAGACATAATGAACACCCAGACACCCCTTGTCCAGTTGAAGTAGTTCTGTGTCTTTTTTAAACCCAGTAATTTTAAGTTACTCCAAAATTCACTTGAGGATGAAATGGAACTAATGTCTTTAATTTAATTACAAAATTAAATTCGTAGCTTTTAGCTTCCATTTTTGAAACCTGGTTAGAACTGTGTAGCGAAAAAAAAAAAAAAAAAATTTTAAATAAATCAATTTATTTTATGATACAGCAAAACTTCATTGCTATTATATATCAACTGTTTCTGTGCACACCTTTTTACTTATTTTTTTTTTTTCTTTCTTTCTTTTCTTTCCAGTTTGGAAGGAGTTGAAATGGACCCAAATACATTAATGCGCAGACAGAAAGATATTGACTATGGTAAAAATACAATTGGGTACAGCAATTACATCAAATTGATACCCATGTAAGTTGTGCATGGCCTGTAATCTTTCTCTAGACTTGGTAAAACTCTGACTTGATTCTCTGTTAGATCTTTAAAAAAAAGTTATTCCATTGATTTGTTGAAACTTAAAACCTTTTCTATATATTGTGACCATTTTGCTTAAAGTTTGTAGGAATTTCTCTGAGAGGGATATATGGGGGGGTGATAGTGCTAATGGGAGGTTGATTTCTATAAATTATAATTTAATGGAGCTCTCAAAGACTTTTCAAATTTAAAATAACTTGTATGTTCACATGAGATTTTTTTTTTTTTAACTTGGAATTTTTCAATTATGCTGTCAAAGAAAAGTGAAATAGATCACCATGTTTACAATGAATTTGGCTTACTTGAAATATGTAGCAAGGTATTATCACTGACAAAAAATTTTAAGCTTTTAGGAAACATCCTTATTAAAAGTACTTTGAATTTTTCTCTCTTCAGAAAAATTACCTTTTTTTTTTTTTTTTTTTTTTTAACCTTAGGCAAACACGCAAGAAGGATCACCCCAAAACCCCAAATAAATACCAAAAATGTAGTCGGAGGTCATGGGATGGGCAAATGAAACACTGGCGAATCTTGCTTCATCAGTTTGACAACATCAATAACACACCCAGGTTTGTTTTATCAGTTAATACTTTTTACCTCTGTTTCTCTTGTTTTTGATTCTTCACTCGTTGGGTGATTATAGAAAATGGCTTTGTTGGTGAAATTAATGAAGATTGTAACAATTTGGAAGTGTCAAAACTAGTTTTGCTGCATTATCAATGAATGGGTACTTTGTTGAAAAATTTTAAATAAGTTTTAACCTATATCCTACCCTGAATCATTGTCAGTTTTGGACTTTCAGCAGAATATGGTGTTTCTGGTCACACTGCTGTAAGATAGCATGGTGGCAAGATTCACTCTGATGACATGGCTAGATGCAACTGTACGTTCTATGCTCATGGAACTCATCTGGCCTCTTGTTTTCCACTGAAAAATTTAAAGGAGCCTTCATCACAATGGATAGGGAGAAGTAGATGTGATAGACAAACTACAGAAGAACGCAAAATTGATCACTGCATTTGAGTATTGCATTAATATTTAAGCTTAACCTTTTAAAAGTTCAATGACAATTCTTCTGCCACTTAAAACAATTTCGTGTATGTAGGCAGTCCTTACTTTCTGTACACTCTTATTTCATGGATGGCTTTTACTGGATTTTGCAATTTCAATTTTTAAAAGTTTTTTTTTTTTTTTTTTTTTTTTTTTAAATCACAGTAATAAAAACTTGAAGATCCAAAATTTCAGGATTGCAGGTCTGGCCTGGAATGTTAATTTGCTGATTCCAAAATTGTATATGTTGGGCCATGGCCTCTTGGAGTACATTTGAAAAAGTGACACTGATATTCACATTCATTTCATTTCAAAATACTTGAAAGATTATCTATTGCTTCAATAATGTTTTGTTTGCTTGTTTTTCATAGGTGTAATTCTGTTGCTTCTGACAATTTGTCTGAAACTTCAAGTGTAAACAACAGTGAAGAAATTGGAGAGGGATATATTGATTTTGGCATTGATGTTGATTTGTCTCTTGACTCCCCTCCTGCATCACCCCACAAAGAAAGATTGGCCTCACCACTGAAAGAATCTTCACACTACAATGTTAATGGACAAATCTTCCACTGTGATTGATAAAATGCTGGACACTTTTTTTTTTCCTCTCCTTAAAAAAAGGCTTCTAACCATTTTCTTCAAATGGGTAAAAGCAATATGGTTGATATCTTTTTAACATGATCCTGTTTCACTCACATCTGGTTTATATATATATATATATATATATATATATATATATAATATCTCATTTAAAAAAAAACAAAAAAAAAAACTGCATTGTGATCTCTTATCATCCAATTACAAACTCAATCTTCATATTGAGCCTTATATTTTAACATTATTTATCCCCAAAGTATTGTTAGTTTTTACTTTATTTTTAAAAACAAGCCTTTTGTTGAAGGTTAAACCAATGAATTCTATATTTGCAACAAACCTTTTCCTATTAGCCTGTTATTCAAGAAATGATTATCAAAACCTTAACCAAAACACTGTTCAAATTAACACGTGTACTTGTTCTCTTGGCATAGTTAATAAATTAGTCTAACAAGCCATAAGTAATGTTCTATAATGGGTGTTTTCTTGATTTAGACTTGGTTAGTGCATGCATGTTGTGTATGTGAGAGTGCTAAAAGCTTTTCCAGCCTCCTGACTATTACCTAAATCTGTTCTGATTTGGGGGAATGGATTGGTCTGAGAATTCCTTAGTGGTGCCTTGTACAACTTCTGAATATATATTCAAGTTTAAAATGTTTTTGAATTTGGTAGTTTTAAATATTCTGATTTTTGTCACTATTGTGATGTTTGTGCTTACCTCTCACTACACCCCACCCAACCCCCACTACAGTCAAGTGATTAGGAAAGAGACACCTTTAATAGTTGTTTATGTTGCTAATATTCTGTATCTTTTTGAAGTTTGTAAATTAATGTTAAAATTCTTGCACTTGGACTCATTGATTAAAATTACTTAGTATTGTATAAACTCCTGCTTTTGTGTCTTCAACTCTTCTATTGTCAGCAAATTTTAAAATCCTTCAGTGTTATTGAGATTGCAACTGATAATCTATTTTACGGTTAACAAGAAATGGTTTTTGCTCATTAAGCCAATAGTTCCACGCTTCTAAACGCTCTAAAACTAGTCTGTTTCTTCAGTTTGTCAAGAAGGGCAGGTTTGGCACTAAGGCTTTGAAATTATTTTTGTGTCTACTTTTCAGATGTCATTAACATTATTTAATCTCATATTTGTTTTGGTCGGTGTATTCTTTCTCTGTTCAAAAGGCAATCTGTAAAGTGGGTGTTCCATTTCGTAGAACAATTAATGGAGAAATTGTCCATTAAAATTCTACTGTAAAAATAGTCAAGTGGGTATGATAATTAACTTTTTCTTCTCTGCAACCACCACCCACCCACCCACTTAGTTTCATCCTGAAGAATGTATCTGCAAGTGTTTTGTCCTTTCTTTTCTCTTTGAAACTGTACAAATTTTTAAAACTCTGGTTTGAAAGAGGCTGCATCTTTCATGAACATTAATTTTGTTACATCTTAATTGCTTATGATTTTATCTTCCATCTTTCAATGAATACTTTTAAATTGTCCTTTGTGCTAGAGATTTTTATGTATATAGGCATCTTATCCTACTCAAGAATAAATTAATGTTATGTAATCTTCGTTTTATTTATTTTACTTCTGTGAGACACCCAAACGATGGCAATATTTTTCAACAGTGGGGGGGGGGACAGTTGTTGCGTTTTTGTTTATTATTTTTGTGGTGATTTCGCAAATTAAGCTTTGAGTCTATTCAAGACTTGATTTATAAACAGCAGTTAGCTACTAGTATGCTACAGCAAAGGTAATTTAAGTACTTTTGATAGATTACTTAAAAATGTCTTCTTTCCCCAGTGATGTGGAAGTGACTAACAAAGTTGCTGCAAATGATTGTCAATACTTGAGTATTTTCTATTTCAAAGTAATCTTTATTTAATCATTGTACACATGAAAAAAAAAATTGCAAAAGACTGGACCACATTTGATCATTCAATTTTCTATAAACACTTTGTCTTTTTTTTTTTTTTTTTTTTTTTTTTTTTTTTTTTGTGCTTGAGTCTGTTTAAAAAAAAAAAAAAAAATACTGTCTAAATACTGATTTTTCTTTGACCTGCAGTGTTAGAATCTGACAAATGTCAGTATTAAGTGTGAACATTAGTAGCTTATATAAACCTTTTAATTGTGTTTCTTCATATAACTTTGAAACTTCATCATAAAGTTTACTTATAAAATTGTATTTGAGTAAATATTTACATGGTATGGAAAAATCTGTATTTGTAATTTTCTTTTAAGGCCTAAACCTACAATATATATATATGTATTTCCCAGGAAAAGTTTTAAAATAATCATCTATTTGGGTCGATACTTGCACTCGCTTAAGTACCTTTTAAACACTAGTTAGTTGACAGAATATGCTTAATACTGTCTTGGATTCTACAAGACTGCAAATGAAATGCAGGGAGGGCTTAAAAGTGTAATTGGGTACTGTCCCAAGTATCTGGTGAAAAAGCTTCAGTTTATTATTAGCTTGAATTGCTTTACTGACTATCTGAAATCTAATAGAGCAGCCCTGTGCAATTAAATGTGGGAGCCACATTGCTCACAGAAAATTAGCTGCAGGTTGCAATACTAAATTTTTAGAATAACTTATTTAGTAGCAGGTGGGCATGTCTGCATTACAAAGACACATCTATCAAATATGCTAATATTTTTTGGTAATATTCAGATGTTATTAGTGATATAATATGGTGATTCTGAGGAGTGAGTCAACATTCAAGCATATCTATTTCAAAGCAACAATCTTTTATAGTATGCCTTTTTTTATTCTTGACTTCAGCTGGATTCAAAATAGTTTTAACTCATGCCTCAATTATTTGACTGAAATAAATTTCATTGATACTCATCATAATGATGAAATTAATGTGGTTAATTGGGCTGTATAGATATGAGCCCTATCACATTTTAATAGTTAACTCATACTTAATAGGCAAAATTGTTTCAATTTTATAAATATTTAAAAAATCTTTAATGACTTGTATCCTCCCCCTTTTCCCCTCCCCTCTCTCTCACTTTCTTGGCCATACAGCAAATCTTTCATGCTTCAGCATAATCTTCAGGTCTGAAGATTGCACTTTAGCATGAAGCACTTGTTGAGTATTGATTTTAATGTACACTTTTATATTTACATGCAGTTTAACACATAAATATAGCATAGAAAACTTGATTAGCCTTAAAAACAGAATTAAAAAGTACCCTGGAAACTTACCATAAATCCTTGGATGACTTTTTCTGAACAAATCTACTTCTCTCAGTTAAAATTTGAGAGCAAGTCTATTGCTATTGTGTTTCAGGCTCATCTATACTTGTGAAGATTTTTTTTTTTCCTTTCCTTCTTGTCTCTGACAAGTTGGTGTATTATAAAGTGTAATTTGTTATTGGCCATAATCTGTTCCAAGGAGTTGACCAAAAATCAAGGTAATATTCCCATAAATGTAAATCCAGTTAATATTTTTGGTTGTGTGCAACAGATTAAGTGCATTTTATGTAGAAGTTTAGCAGGCAGAAAATAAATCAATACAAATGAACATTTAACTTTTATCAAAGACTTGTTGGTGTAGGGAGGTTACTTCAGGTAAGTCTTTCTGTGGGTCATTTTGCTTCTCTCTGAACCTACTTGAAACTGACTGGATCCCTCTCGCTAAAAACTTGGCCAGAGAGGTTTCTCTTTCCCACCCCACCCTCTTTAAAGTCAGTAAACAACACAGCTTGTACCTCACTCCATTTTGAATTAATGTTCTTAATCATGGAAAGCAGCAGGCTTCTCTCCTGAAACCATTTCCTTAGCTGCCATTTGTTGCTTCAGCTGAAGGCCAAGTTTACAGTGGTCAGTTTTTCCCTGTGGTCCTTCACAAAAACCTACTTGCAACTTTAACAGAAAAACTAAAACCAATACTTAAAACAAGTTAAGATTAATGCTAGGGTAGAAGCTCACTGTCTCATCCTGAGTTACACACAGGATACTTTGTGTGGGAGGTTGGCTTAGGGAAGTTACATGACAGCCAGTGTACCAGTTCATAAGACAGATTTCCTTGTTTGATAACCAAAAAATATGTACAATAACTAAGGTTCCAGTAATTAGATTTGACTAAATCTCCCAATTTTAGTTATTAAACTGGTTTGCCATTAAAATTATAATCCTTTGAATTCTAGGTGATTCCCACACATGCACACTTCCAAAAACGTCAATTACCAACAGTCAGCTTAAAACTGGAATGACACACAAACTAATGCAATCAAAGCAAGATATTTTAAAATTTTATTCAAAATGTACATTTTCTATGTAGTTAAAGTTGCCATTTGATTTGTAGGCACAATCAATCTTTATTTCTTCTCTTCACAAATTAAATTGACCATTTAAGAACAATGTGTTTCTGCCAATGAGCGATAATTTGTATCTTTCACAAACTTTATTAAATATGTACATGTTATTTTCATCTCTATGTTTTTGTCAAGGAAGTAATCAATAGCATTCTGAAAAGAGAAAATGTATATATTTCACACACTATTTTGAAATTAGTCAGTCTGATAATACATCCTCTAAAATGTTAATTCTTATGTTTGATAAGAATAAATGTGTATTAGCAACTCTTGAATAGTTGCTTTCTCACTGAGACTTCAGAACTGAAAGCTATATTTACAAATTTCACCTTTCATGCTTGCAAAACATGATCATAATTAATGCAAATATGAATTTTATAAAATTACCAACAAAGAAAAATAACAGGAAATTTTTTTTTTTTTTTAAGGCAAGCATTTGGAAAATTAACTCGTTTAATCTGTAAAAGATTAGAGATCAAAAGAATATTTAAAAAGTGAGTTGATGCAATTAGTGTCAATAGCACAATGACAGGTAAACTTTGTGGATATTTTGTTTCATGATTTCTTGACAAATTAGTTACAATTAATCCACATGAATTTTGAATATTTTGCTAAATGAATTGGAGACAGCAAAATCAAGCAAGTACAAAAACTTAAATTCAAATGAGAAAATGCAACTGAGATCTGAAGGTAAGTCCTAACAAAAAAAAAAAAAAAAACTTATATGGCAGTGAATGCTGGGCAATGAGAGCACACCTTTTCACATGAAAAATGATGCCTACAATATAATCCAGTATTACGAAATGATCCTAGTCACAATAGGACGAAACAATTACATAAATGTATATACAGTAGTTTACTGGTATTGGAACCTGTTTACCACAGTACCTGGTGTACCCCAAGATCCCCCCCCCTTTTCTTTTTAAAACATTTTACCTTGATTCATGATTTAACTGGCTGTTTCACACCTAATTCAATTGTATTGGTAATAATTACACATTACTTTATATTTCTATTTCACATGTGATCAAAGCATATCTGGCTAATTAGCAGGAATGCAATCAGATGTCATGGATGGAGTATAAATAGTACTTTTCTCTGGTTGATCATGTTCAATTTCACTATCCATCAAGAATCTCATAAATAAACATGTATGTAGTAATTAGGTTGCAATTGGGAATTGCAAGAGAAAGTACTTTTGAGGATTGTTAAAATTTAACTGTAAAACACGAGTTGAAGTTTCGGATAATTTGCTTTTTAAGCCCTGTGATCAGTATCTAATGATTTCCCAAATAGTTACATTTACATGCTTAATTTGAAATTTTTTTTTTTTTTCAAAAAAAAAAAAAAAAAAAAGTTCAGACTCATTTGCGTCACAACAGCCATTATTGGAATTGTCTGCATATATTTGCTTCGTAATAGACATTCACTTGTCTCGATTATTGTGCACACACACTGATGCAAACAATGCCAATAATAGCTGCCATGCCATAGCCGACAATAACCTGAGTTCACACTTTTATTGTCAAAACTCTAAAATGGTAGATTTTATAAAAATTTCTGTAAATTTAAAATAAAAAACTGTTCAAGAAATTTTTATTGGATACTTAATGCGAGGCTTAAAAAGCAAATTACCTGAAATTTTTTATGGAATCATTAGCATAAATTTTTGAGCCACTACCTACAGTATAGGGTCCAAAAATAAGGTAGGTGTTCAACCTCCTATTATTGCCCACAGCTACCGTGATTTACTTGAAGCAGGGGTTGGCCATCTTGGACTAAGGCCTGCACTATAATGGGCTACTGTATGGATTTGAAAAAATATTTAAAGATGCCCATATTATTGACAATGTATGAAATTTAAGTTTATCAATAATTTATGCTGCTTAAAAAAAAGAAGTGTTACTATATGTGATGTCATATAAAACCTGGGTTTTTATCCCCCCCCCCCTTAAAAATATCCTAACTCCATGAATTTGAGGTATCTCGTACATTGACAATTACCTACCTTAACTCCATATAAAATATAAATGTGGTGGAGGCATATCTTATGTCATCAAATTCTGTAATTTGAAACTTTGTTTACAAATAAACTTTTTCTCAATGTTATGGAAAGAAAATTAGTTTTAAATATAAACTAGATTTCTAACCTTGGCTAGGATTTTGGCAATACCTCTTCTCTGATAGTGTTCTGGAACACCTGTATGGATGAGATCTACAGTATTTTTGTCCAACCAGTCATATTGAAGAACAGCTTGACTGCTCTTGGGATGTTCTGAAAGTATATTTATTCAGTAAAGTAAAAGAAAAAACAGTTTTATGATAGGCTAAGAAATAAATGGTTATGCAAAAGCTAGATATTACTGCAAATACAATCATTTTTACAATTTATTAACTATCACTATCTTTATTTGAGGATATGTTTTTCTTTTAACTTTCATTTCTTTTTCCCCATTATTTCAATTAGCTGATACTCCAAACTTTTTGGCATAAAGAAAGTTGTCAGTTAACAATTTAGTCTATCTTGATTTCCCATTTACCAAAGAGCATATTAGAAAATGTATTAGTTTCACTCTCTCTCTCTCTCTCTCTCTCTCTCTCTAATGTCACTATCAGAACTTATTCATCTATCTCATGTCATCTGCTGAGATATCACAGATTATATGTATTATTATTATTATTATTAAAATGAAAAGACAAGGAGATTGTGAGAAATATAGCTGTAACGTTTTTATTTATTTATTTTTTGCAGTACATTTTGGTCCAAATTTTAATTCTTTGCTTCCAGTTGTATCCCAATGGTGGGATTGAAATTTTTACAAATTAGCTCTCTTTTACATCCAATTTTTTTTTTTTTCCCTCTCTATGGAATTCTCTCTATCATTGTTTTTAGCATCCTTAAGATTTTTTTTTTAAGGGAATTTAAGAACCAGTTCTGCAAACTTGTTTAATTTTAATAAATGGTTCACATGAACTGTTGTGAACTCTGACTCCCACCACTGGTTAAAGGCCATTATTTCATAACAAATTGCAAATTATATCATTCTTCCTCAAATAAAGATCATTTCACATCAACTTTCATGTCTGAAACAATTCCAAATTTTGCATTACTTTATGTGAAAATGATATATAATTTTTTTTTATATATCAAGAACTATTTTAGGGAATAACTATGACAAAGAAAAAAATTTTTATGTGACATGGAATGCATCCTGGACTTCCTCAAGCTAAAGTGATGTTTACATTGATGTGACTAAACATGACATGAAGGAAAGGGGACACTAAGAATCTGAAATTTATTTTAAATTATTATTATTTTTAATGTTTTATGTATATAGTCTAGCTCAGAGGTTGGCAACCTATGGCACATGTGCCACACCAAGCAATTTCTAATGGCATGCAGCAGTAAATGACATCACAAAGTCTGAACTAATAACTACTACAATGCAAAGAAGATATTTAGCTCTTTCAATTTCAGTATATATTACTATATGAAATATATTGTAGAACAAATATATTGACCGTGACTTTTAAAAGTACATATGATGTTGCACACTGAATGATTTTCAAACCCTATGTCAGCACGTAGTTAGCAAAAGGTTGCCGACCCCTTAATTGAGCTGATTTTGTGTTTGTTTTCACATTTCCATCCCTTTTTATTAAATATCCCACATTATGATAATAGAAGGTCTGCCAAGAAAATGTAAGAAGCTGGATGGACTATGGATGAGCAAGTGAAAAAAAAATTAAATTTAAAATTCTCAGTGTTCCCCTCTCCTTCACATGTAATCACATCCCTCAAAACGACATCATTGACGAGTGACTGAGAATGAATCGTCTGAAAGTGAATTGCTGATTAGGCCCATAGCATATGAGATCGACAATTCACCTGAGAAGCCAAGTAATAACATTCATTGACAACTCTTTGGAGGAGCACCTGAAACAAAAACCGCATCCGCACTGTTATATGTGTGATCATGAGAGGAGAGTGTAGCAGACAGTGAATCAGCACCAGAGCCAAACGGGACCATCTTGGAGAAAAGTGAGTTCTGTCGGGGTACATCGTACGATAAGTGCAGTTGTGATAGAACGAATGAAGCAGATACAAGGCAGAGAACAATGATAAATACCAAGAAACCGGTGTAGAGAGGAGAAACGCCCAATCTGAAATTACATCCTACAACAGAGTCGCTAATTTCTTTTGACCATAGGGTTTTTTTTATAGTGAACTTTTTCTGTGTAGAAAAGTAATGGCAACTGTTGTAAAGCTTTTATTTTAAAACAAATAATTAATAGTAATACACAAACTTTGTAAAGAGCATGAATATTTAAAAAATAAAATTACAAAAATAAAAAAAATGCTAGAAAGGAAATAATTAATGCACGAACTTTTAAAGTGCATGTTACAAAATAAAAAAAAATGCTAGGAAGGAGCATTTTTTATTTTGTAAATAATCAAATTCAAACTTCGTGCAAATTTTGCGTTTTAATTATTATTTGTTTTATTTTTAATTTAAAAGAAATGCTTTATTTTATTATTTAATTTTTTTTTTAATTTAAAAAGAAAGCTTTACTATGAAAAACAACACTTGTCATTGCTTTTCGACACAACTTAAGTGCGCAGTAATTTAGAAGAGTAAGAGCAGTAAATTGCCGTTAATTAAGCTTCCGCGCGCAAAATGTTCCTCAGTGAATGTAGCTAAACAAGGCCAGTAATGGCCGACGGCTGAACGCGACTGAGTCCGAACTTTTATTGTCGCTAACTCCAAAACGGTAGATTTTATCAAAATTTAATTGTTATTTTGGAGTTCAGCATGTAAATTTACACGGAAATATAACGATTTGTGTAATTTTTAATAGATATTTAACGCGGGGCAAATTAATTACGCGTTTTTATTTATTACCTTCTTACGGTTTTTGTTTGTGACTTTACATTCTTTTCTCAGAATCTCTTGATGAAAATAACCCAAAAAGGTAACGAGGAAACTAGTGTTGCTTTAAGTTTCTGTTTATTTGCACAACACAAAAAAACTGACGAGTGTTTGCAACTTGTTCAGTTGCTATGGTTGGCTGAGGACCTCGACACTGTTACCGTTTTGCTTGCTAACAGCTCTGTAGTTCTGTATAATCAGTATTGAATCATTCTGTCAACAAAGTGTGTTATTACTACTTCCCACAGTCCACTTTTTTCGTAAAAAACTAACCCATCCATCCATCCCAAGATGCCAAGACGTAAGTGTGAATTTCGTGATGAATTTTCCAACGAATGGAAATTTATCAAACAAGGCAGTTGTTTTGAAACAAACTTTGGTGTGTGTAAATTGCAATGATTTCGATTTTACACAGATTCTTTTTGCTTGTGCTTAATTCTCTGTTGTCTGTATTGAATATTTTCAAATGATTTTACTTTTATTTTCCTCGTAACCCACTTTTGGGCGTGTGGGTATGTGTAGAGAGAATTTTTAAGAGTGTATGTCCCGTATTTCAAATTTTCAAATCTCGCGCAACCCTAGTAAATTATTAAAGCTCATATCTTATGATAAACACAACAAAAATGAAGATGCTAGTTTGAATAATTCGGCTGAGTGAACTTATCTTCCTATTTAGAGGACAAAGTTTTTAAACAAAACAAAAAACGCTTTAAGACTAACCTGGTAATTCTGGCGGGAGCTCAATGGTGAATTCTTTTGCATCAGATCTATGGATGACTTTCAAACTATTTTCACTAAATGAATCCGTAACCTTCGATAAATAACGATGCGAAAGTCTTAAAGTTCCAAGAGCTTTTTTTGATGCCATTTTAAAAAGAAGTACACGTTCCTCAATATCACGACTTTTATATAAGGGAGATAACTCAGTGAAAAAAGTTCTGACTTCTAAATATTTACTTAGGGCAACGAAAGCAGGTTACTCCATAAAGAATAAAGATTGAACACACTAACACCAAGGTTTTTCAAACTGATGGTCCGAACTAAATAAAATGGGTCGCGAAAAAAAAAAGAAATTATTATGTTTCTAACATTGTTACAACACATTACTGAGAACATTGTCAACAATGACATTAAAAAAAAATTCGAGATCTTGTCACATCTCTCAAAGCTTAAAAAACTATTTCCCAGAGGAGAAATTTGTATCAGTAAAGAAAAGCCTCTGGATAAAAAATCCATTTGCTTTTCAAAGTCCTGAATCAATAATCAAGTTAAACTTGTTACCTGAAGAGGAAGCTGAATTGCTGCATCATAGTTGTTCCTTTACTCTTAATGATTTTGAGAAATTAAATTTGTGCTCATTTTGGTTTAAGAACAAAGGGAAATTTCCACTACTGAGTACAAAGGCTATTTTATTATTGTGGCCTTTTACAACTATTTGTGTGAACTACAATTTTCTATATTAATTCAATTTATAATGAAGGACAGAAACAGGCTCAACACTGCACCTGATATGTGTGTTTGTCTTCTTGTGTTCTCAGTTGGAATCAGCTGCTTATGAACAAACACATCCATCTCATTAAATGACATTTTTTCAAATATTTACTTTAACTTTGTGTCGGAATTTCCTTTAAATTTGTTTTTCTAAAAGTATATTCATACAAACAGATAATACAAAGAGATATACGCATCAACAATTTATGTGTATATTTCTTATGAAGAAATATACATATAAATTGTTGATGCTAAATAAATGAACCTAGTGACAGAGTTTATCTTTGATTTATTACACATAGGTATAATGGGTTGCAATGCAAAATGTGGTTCTTGAGATTGCTCACAGTAAAAAAAGTTTGAAAAATGCTGGTGGTATTGTGAGATACTTCTGGAGTACTTCAGTGGTAAATGATGTTTCAACAGCAAAATTTAAACTATAACACCACCTTTGGATGAAGACTTTCTTGGCAGTACTACTGCTGATGTATTTCAACTTGTATCAGATTAAAATGAGTAAATAAAAACTAAGAGCAAAATTTCCCTGGGAGAGAGCAAGCATCTCAGAAATATAGACAGATACATAAGCCACTATGTGCATCCAAACTGAATTCTTTGATGATGTTTTAAGTTTTTCCTTTGATGTGTGTGTATATATATATATATATATATATATATATATATATGTGTGTGACATTTTTACATCATTATATAGAGATAGGTAACTTGTCAATTTTTTGTAAACTAGATTCTAATGATGTAGTAGAAATAGAATTTTATTTTCAACAAATAAAATAACATATCTATGTCTTAATCTATTTTTATTTCCCTGATTATTTGTAATTTATAGATAAATGGATAATAATTATGTAATTGCATTGTGCTTTTAAAATATCAAAAAAATTAAATATTACTATCATTTTAATGGCACAGGTTAACAAGTTTTCATATAACAATAACATCCTTTGTTTTGATTTTTTAATACTTGGGATTTCTTTTAGTTTTTTGTATATTTTGTTATACTTTATATATTTACATCAATAATTTCTGCACTTGTATATTAACCTCAAACAAGTATAACAAAATTTACACTTTTCTGTTACCACAAAGTTGCCACACTGCTTGTACATTCCTCTTTGACTACAGTCAAGATCATAGATTGAACTTCACAAACCTTCAGATGGCCTTATAGCTAGAGAGTCCAGCCTGCCCTGCTATTTGATTTAACCCATAGCTGGGAGAGAAGAGATGGATTCTTACCTTTTCCAAGTGTATTTGTAAGACAATGAATAAAACAAACTGGACTAGAATCCAAACTCATCTCCTCGATTTCTTGTTCTAATCCACTATTTGCATATTCCCCGTTTTGTAAGGACCTACAAATTATTCTGTATAAAACTTAATAACTGAACTTTTACATTTTTGATTTAATGTTTCTTTATTAAAATACTTTTATTAATGCTGTGACAATCTAATATTAATGTATAACTGTTCTGATTATTTAGAATAAAAGTTGAATGTAGACACACACATTTTCTCTATTTACAATCAGATCTTATTTATAAATATTTGTTTTCAACAGTCATTAAACTATTTTTAAGTTTCAATTTGCATAATAAAAAGGTAAATACCATTTGCAGTAATTGACTTACTAAACTGTAACATTCTAAGAAACTTAATTTTACAATTTAATAATAGAAATGAACCAAAGTAACATTTGTGGCTCCTGCAAATTTCTATAAAAATTTCTTAGCTAACTTAAATGATTCAAGATGATTTCACAAAAACAAAAAAAATTAACTGATTTTGAATAAGTATTTGTTTATTTAGGAAAGTTTGAAATTTTGAAAAATAAAAATAAAACAATTTATTATAAAATTCCACATACTGAATTTTTGACAAAGAAAATATGTTAACACATCATAACACCAACTTAAATAACAAAATTGTTTGTAAAACAATGTAACTTTTAACTGGAATGTATCATTTTTTAATATAGTATAAAATGTTTTTTTTAACACAAGCTCCTTTTTGTATAGATTTTTTGTGTCTATCTAAAATAGTGTTTGACTTTATAAATCCCATTTCAAACAAAATTATGCTTTTATGTCTTTCAACTCAGAAACAGATAAAAATAAATGATTGTAATTATTTGTTCTTCTACATGCCACATAATCTTTAGATCTTCAAATGATTATTTTACTCCAGAGTCTGTGATTCTAACAATTGATGATATCTAAGAATTCCTTGAAGAATTAATTGAAGCAAAATACTTTATTCTTTTATGACAGAATTCACAATTTACTTCAGTGACTGAATAATGTTGCTATGAATTTATATAGATAAAATAATGTAAAAAACTGATAGAAATTTTTACTTTACCTAATAATAAAGTCATGTCTATATTTTTCCATTTTTTTAACAGTTATACTCAAATAAACTGCAAGAAACATAATCTTCAATTTACTTTCATATTACCATTACCATAAACATGCAAAAAAAAGTTTAGTTACCTATATCTCTTCTCTCATTTGAATTGCTGATAATAAACCATAATGTAGTAAGGTGAATAATACATGAAATCAAATCAACAAATTCTTTTTCTCCATTATCAGCTGTGAAAATGAAAACAAGAAGTTGTGCCCAGTGGCTGGTTGATAGTAATCACTAGCCTTATATAGGAGCACTGGTTTTTTACTTTAAGAGTAGGGGGAGAAAACAACTGCTGGTATGTTGGAGTTTATCTTTGTGGATGGAAAGTTACTACTTAGTTTAAGCTGAGATTAGGTTGTTAAATGCAGATTAAGTATATATATATAGATATATATATATATACTAGAATAAATCATTTATTCTAGTTTATCATTCTACTTAACGTATTGAGCACTCTACATTTTAGTCTTTCTACTCGTTAGGGTTTTTTTTTTCTTTGGACTTAAAGGACAATTTGTTTTTATCTTTTTCTGATGTTTTTAGTTCTTTCTTTTTAATTCCAATTTTTTCCTAGGGTACCAATTTGTCCTGATATATCTGCAAGTTGAGATATCTGAGGATTTCCAAACGAGTACTACTATTAATATATAGATAGATAGAGAGTAAAGCTATTACATAGAAAAAGAAAAGGCAAAATGAACAAGTTCTTGTTGCTGAAATAAATGGAGAAGGAACTCAATAGGTTTAGCAACAAGAATTTATTTAATGAAAGCAAATAATGTCTCAGAAAATAGCAAATAGAATGTAATGTTTGTATATCCTGTGCCTGTACAAATCTTTGTATGCGTTGCTTGTGCAAACATCTTGCTGAATTGAATTTACTTGATGTATCTGCTAAAGTTTCTCTCAGTCAATGTTGGGGGTTATATTTGCTGATAAGTTTAGAGGGTCTGCCTCCTATTGAGCCTGAATGAAAAAGAGAACAATCTTCCTTCAGTTTCCAAGAACTTGAACTTTCTACCACCAACCCATATTGGTCATAGATGAGTCATTTAAGACAGCATTAAAAGGTCTAGATCCATCACATACATTGTGAATTAAACACTTTCAGGGCTGATACACAATTGACACAACAACCATATAAATAGAAATCACTGGCAATTTTCATTGACCTGCTAAACAAAATAATTTTGATATTTTTCCTTTGCTTTCTTATCTGCATTAACTTCAATTATATACAGGATTAAACCAAAAAAGTAGGAGAAACCAACAAAGAATACCTAAAAATGCAGGATAATATAGTGATAAGCAGCTGAAAATGCCAGCTGATGATATTTTTTATACCATAGAAAGTATATCTTCTGAAGGATGAATTCTTTGTCCCCAAACATATGTCAAACAATTGTAGACATAAAACTAATTCTAGCATTACACTCTTTTGGAGTTTATGATTTATATGTATAGAGTGGGAAAAGCTAAATTTATACTAATACTATATATATAGTATACTAATGATTAATGTGAACTTGATGGTATCCCTGTAATTTTCTTAAGAAATGTGCTCCTGAACTGGTCCCTACAATAGATATTTTGCTTTCCAGATTATTGGAAATCCTCTTCTGTAGTTCCAGTCTTTAAGAACTCTGGCAAATTGTCTGATCCTCTGAACTATCAACTTCTTGGCAATGTACTATAATCAACTCAGAATTGGTTAAACATCTCACATTGTAGGGTTTTATTTCAGACAAACATGGATTTTGCTTCATTAGGTCAACCATCAATGGTTATTGTTGAAAGAGACTGTCAAGTTTTAGATAAGAATGGTGAAGCTTTAGATATTTCAAAAGTGTTTGACATGCTGGTCTCCTTCAAAAGTTAGAGTTATTG